TAATCCAATCGATTTCCTTACAAAAAACATTCAAATTTGCATATGAACAACAGTGTCTTATTTAACATCCTTTTTACAAAATCTTATCACTTAGTTAAAGACACTATTAATCTTCTGCTTCCATCATAATGAGCAAGTGTATTATTCCCATTAAATATATGGTTCTGTGTATTCCATTTCTTTACCAGGATGTTAATTTTGACCAAAGTTAAGCATTAGTCTTTCTTCAGTATCACAAAACATAACCAACCTTCTGAGAAAAATTATAAACATTATCTCTGCATGTTAATAAACCACACCAAACTACTTCTAATTCAATTCTGTGTATAAATGCAATAATTCAGTTATAAGTGCACTGCTTGCCTCTCCATAGAGGATATTTATGAAACCTTTTCTTCTGCTTTCTTTGTTTGTCCAGAACAACAAGGCAATTAATTTCAGTGTTGCTTAACCACATTCCAGCACAGCTAGCTTCCTACATAGTTCAAGCAGTTTACACAAGGTTTCTGACTCAGCTTATGTTCATAGACAGAGATAGAAACTAATCTTTTGCCAAATACCAAGCAGCGTGTCTACACCCTTTTATACAGTTGAAGGAGAGTGAAATCTATTTTTCTAAACTAATGAAACAAGAAAACCTTTGTCAGCATATTCCTTGACAAGAACAGGTTAGAAAGGCATGGAAGTTCTGGCTAGAGATGCATACAGAACACAAGTTCTTATTTTCAGTTTATATTCATAAAAATGCTGTCTTTTAATGAATGCCCTCTCTCTTCAAAGGAGCTGGGCAGGGTCTTAATTTCAGAAATAAATTTTTAAGATCGCAGTGCCATCTACTGGTTGTAACTGTAATAAGCAAGCCACAATATACCACATTTTAAACAACAGTTACATTTTCAGATCAGGAATCTGTTCAGAAAGCTACGATCCCTTTCTCTAACACAATAGATTCCTTGTTCTTTAATCATCTTACCAAACAGTTAAGTCCTACAGAACTGAATAAGAATGAAACAAATGGTATTCCCTAGAATTTTAATTTGTTTCCACAGGAAGTAAGCTAAAAAAAAAAAATCCATGATGCAAGGGTGTAGTGTACCTCAAAGGAATATAGCAAAGAACTCACAGCCACGTTTGTGCTCTTCTGGTTTGTAGCAGTAGTGGTGCTTAAAATATTCACCTTCCTTTGTGCTGCAGTCCTGTTTCTGGCACATCCCTCCTACCCTCAGTCACAGCTTGTGTGCCAGGACTTTTCACAGAGTCCTTAAAGGACAGCCTGTGGTGGTGCTCTTTAATTTTTGGATTGAGGGGACTTCTTCCCTTTTACTTCTCTACTCCACTCTGCCCACTTTGTTCAGTGTAGAGAATTTAATCAAAGAATTCTGTAACTACCTTATTTGTCAAGCCGTCATCCCAAAACAAAGTTGCCTTTGGAGTTCACGGTGTGGCATGCATGGATAGTCTCCTAAATGAGACTTATTCCTCTGGTGTTTAGTCCCTATTTGTAGCCAGAGTGAAGTTGGGTTCAGTTTTGTCATTTTCATATCTGTATGTATTGTAGTGTAGTATTCGATAAAAATGTAATTTTGATATATACATATATTATACCCAAGGCTTTTTTAGCAAGGCAGTGATTAACTTAAGTGGCCCTCACCTATTCACACTTAGAGACGTAATCATTGGGGATGTCTACACATAAAATTAATGTGACGTAATAAACTCTGGCGCACATCGCGCCAGAGTCTATTGCTCCTGGGAGCCATGTTTACATGTGCACCCAGGACTGCAACATGCTGAGCTGGGTCAGAGCAGCCCTGTCTGGCAGAGAGCCTGGGGGGCTCAGTCTGCCAGCCCAGGGCTGCTCTGACTCAGCTCAGCATGCTGCAGAGGGGCTGTCTGGAGCACGAGGGTGCTCTATCCACCAGGCAGCCCCCAAACTGAAGCACCCATGTGCCCCAGCTAATCCCATCAGTGCCTACACGTGCATTGCTGAGCATTAAAGAATGCTTGTATAGGATAGTACTTGTGTTTACAAGTGCTAACCTACAGCAGAATTAATTAATTTCCTGCAGCCTAACAGATGCTGAGACTTTACTGCAAAGTTAATTGGGTAGCTTGATAGTAAATGTCTCATGTCGCCCACTGAGAATTAGCATTTGACTTCAGTTGTTTACTGGCTCCCTTAAAGTTACATTTTAAATTAAGTTTGACAGCTGTCTTGTCCAACTATTGGGAAAGAGACGGTATATTGGATTAGCAAATCTCCATATCTGAAAGGATGCACATATTCTCCTGATGTTAGTAAGTTCTTATTAACACCACGAGAATCTTGTATCTGGCAAAATGTGCACTTTTGAGGAGCAGGAAGTAACCAGCATAGTGTGAACCCCCTCAGAATTGGTGGTATATGTTGTGAATAGTCAGAAGGGGAACTGTACTTAAGCCTGGCTCTGAGCATGGCTTTGTCTTTAGTGTCTCCAGGTACAGGGGAAACTGGAATCTCTCAGCCTGAGAGGAGAAGGCTGAGAAAAACAAGCTAGTGGGAGAACTTGCATGAAGCCCTGAGAGAGGTGTCAGAAGCAGGGTCTGCTTTTTAACCTCTTGAAGTTGGCTAGGGACTCTATCCATGGATTTAAGGTTATTGTTCTGATATTTTCTTTTGTTTGTTTATTCTTATCTCTCTGCATTTGTCTCAATATATGGATGATTCCTTATGCTTGTTTTTGTTCTTTATAATAAATCCTTTTTGTTATCTATTTACAAACCACTTCATGTCAGTGATCATAGAATCATAGAAAATTAGGGTTGGAAGGAACCTCAGGAGGTCATCTAGTCCAACTCCCTGCTCAAAGCAGGACCATCTCCAACTAGATCATCCCAGGCAGGGATTTGTCAAGATGGGCCTTAAAAACCTCAAAGGATGGAGATTCCACCACCACTCTAGGTAACCCGTTCCAGTGCTTCACCAGCCTCCTAGTGAGAAAGTTTTTCCTAATATCCAATCTAAACTTCCCTTGCTGTAACTTGAGACCATTGCTCTTTGTTCTGTCATCTGCCACCACTGAGCACAGTCTAGCTCCATCCTTTATGGAACCCACCTTCAGGTAGATAAAGGATGCTATCATATCACCCCCTCAGTCTTCTCTTCTCTAAACCCAGTTCCCTCAGCCTTTCCTCATGAGCCACGTGCCTCAGCCCCCGAACCATTTTTGTTGCTCTCTGCTGGACTCTCTTCAGCTTGTACACACCTTTTCTGTAGTGTGGTGGGGGCGCAAAACTGGACACAGTATTCCAGATGGGGCCTCATCAATGCAGAATAGAGGGGAGTAATTACTTCCCTTGATCTGCTGGCAATGCTCCTACTACTTGTTTTCAGAGTATCTGACCATACAGGCTATCCCATTTGATGGAAAGGGGGATCTATTTTTATTGAGTGCATGACCGGACAAGTATATGATCCTTCTACCTGGCAAAATCCACTAAGGTCTGGCAAGGCTAAGTGAGACAGGTATGGCTGAGGCACTACAGACCAAGGAGTTGGCTCCTGGCACACCTCAGCTGGTTTGGTCAAGCAGCAGAAAGCAGAGAGGGGCTTGTGGGGGAAAGGGCACCCCAGGAATGGTCTCAAGGGTACGCCCTGGTTTTGTCTGGGGCTGGGGCACATTGGGGTTACTTCTTCTCTGGCTCTTTCACTTCTCTCCTCCACTCTGGCCACTTTGCTCGGTGTAGAGAATGTAATACAAGAATTCTATAAATTCCCTATTTTTAAGCTAATCTAGAAAATCTACAAGTATGATTATAATTAAATTCTATTGGATGGTTTGGAAGGTGCATAGAATTTTCTTTTTAAAATAAATTCCCATAAGGGAATTTCCCGTAAGTATACACTATGAAATTAATGTTTTTTTTAATTTAGACTCTAAAACTAATCAAAGAGCACATCAGAATATCCAGGCTTCAGCCAGGAACAATTCTTTTCCTTATCACTTATTAATAAATAATACAATAATAGTCTTTTTAAGGGGAAAAAGGTCAACAAATATATAGAAGTTTCCATGGTAAATTTTGTTTAAAGACTATCTTATTTGATCTATAACATATTAATGTATACTCACTTTTCTAGTCAAAGATAGTAGTATGGCATCCATGAAAATCCTGAAGCCTACATGCTCTCCATATGTCTTTATATAGACCTAAAAATAATTTACAGTTTACTGCATTAGTGTTTTATTTAAAAATGACATTTAAAAATTGATATTTTTTGTAAAATAACAAATCAGGGAGATTTTATGGTTTAATTTTAAATCTATTCAGCAAGCTTTAGAATGTCTTAGCTCTAGCTCCTTAATTATTCACTATGGGAAAATAATATGTACATAGTTTTCCACCCTTTGCAAGTCACTTTTTGTAACAGTCTCATGTAAACAGAAATGCACTGCTTTCAAGTATGGTTCTACTGTATTACCTTCCCAGATTAAACTACAACAGTCAGTAGGCTTTTGTTAGTGAGAACTGAGAATGATTCAGACCTCTGTGACTCTTCAAGAAGCAAGAAACTGAACTTGGAATCAGGAGACCTGGTTAAGCATCCCACACTGATACTGATTTGCTGCAACACTGTGGGAAAATGATTTTTTTCCCCACTGTGCTTCAACTGCTACATTCATAACGTGGAGGGAAAACACTTTACAAAGAATGGCTTAGCATTTTTTGAGCTCTGTAAATGAAAAAGATCACTAAATAGACAACTATTATTTTAGAAACAATGAAGCAAACAGCAGTAGAGTGATGCCTCCTTCAAGAATGGGTGACAAGAATCTTTTCTAAAGTGGTAAGTAAGTTAAATGTTTGACACACTAGTAGATTCCCCAGTGGTATTTCAGCTAAATCACATACTGTACCTTATTATCTTTTATAGTATAATGACACAAACTCTGTCTTTGTCCAAACCTTTCTGGAATTTCCTTTGCAATCTTATCTGGATCAACAGTGGGAAAATTAGCTAGGTCCTTCTGTATCTGTGGAATAGTATGAGAGCAGCTCATCTCTTCCACCCATACTTTGCTATCTTCTTGAGGGCAGTCACAGTTCTCATGGTAAACAGGTCCTGTTATATACACAATAAATTATTAGTACAAGCATGACATTGAATTTAGAAGTTACTTACCCTCAATATTATTATTCAAAGTTAGACAGGAATCAGTTAATTGTGGAATAAAGCATACTTGGCTCCCTCTTAGTGTATCAATTTAGATTCTCTTAGGCCTTGTCTACACAGGAAAAATTGACTGGAATAGCAACAACAACAGCAAGCTGAACTGGCAATCGGGGGACTTGCTTCTGCACCCCACTTTGATATTGGAATAATAATATATTACTCCAAATAATATCAGAGTTTTTTTTCTCATTTTGAATCAACTGTCCACACAAAGTTTTTTTTCTGGAATAGCTGCAATAGAATAGTTATTCCAGAAGAGCTATGCCAATTAATTACTCCGTGTGGCCAAAACAACAAATTCAATTAGACTTTCTGATATTGTCATCATACTGTAATGTATGTTAAGGACCTAAAATAAGATGCAAATACTATACATCATCTTAATTCTCTTTTAGGCTTATCACCTTTTTCCCAGGTGAAGGAGATGCTCTTGTAGTTAAGGAATTCCACTAGAACTTGGGAAGTCTGGGCTCTAGTCCTGGTTCTACCACAGGCTTGTGATTTTGAATAAGTTATTTAGTCTGTCTGTGCATCTGTTTCCTGGCTAGTACTTCTTCACCTCCCCAGGGTGTGGTAAAGCTGAATTCTCTATTGCAGTGGTGGCCAACCATTTTTGCAAGCATGCCACAAGTTAAGTCCAAAGTATGAGATGCTACCACTCTGATAATCAACCATCGTTGTGATCCAGGCCCACCCAATCCTTTTGCCACTTGGTGGCAACACTGAACTTAGCCATACTGTCCTCTGCTGCTCCTGCAAGGCCAAATCCCTGAAGCTAGCTCTAGAGCTACCCCCAACCCCCACTCCCTTCCAAGTGCCATTCTGATCCCCTTCCCCTTCCTGAGTGCTGCCCCGATTCCTATTGCCAGTACCCTCTTTAACTCAGTGTCTGGGGCTTGCGTGCAACACATACTGACTGCCTATGCCACATGTATTGTGGGTTGGCCATCCCTGCTCTACTGTGTATTACATTCTTATATATTATTTGTTTCTGGAAATATCTGTGATGTGTTCTGAACACCCTAAAAAGAAAACTAGCCCCATCATAAAGATAACCCGGAAAGTCAGAGGAAAGGGTCAGGAAGTATAGCTTATTTATTTATATAAATAATACCATAGAAGTAAAGCAGGTGGTAAGTTGCCATGTCCTGATAAGTCAGTCTTTTAACAACAAGACCCCCGGACCTCAGCTGGTATAAATGGGCATTACTGACTCTAGTTGAGTTCCACACATCTATACCAGCCTACAACTAGGCCCCAGTGCAGAGTTTGCAAACAGCTAATAGCTGCATTTTAAACAAATGTTTGGAAGTATTTGCCATGTCTTAGTTTTACAGCATTCCATTCTGTAATATATTCAGAAAATTGGTTGCTGTCTTGTAGTATTTAAGGTCCTATCCTTGCAGATGCTGAGCTTCTTAATTGTCCATTTGCTATAGTGACAATTGAGGCTGCCCAGTACCTCCTGAGAAACACTGAGCTCCTCCAAGGTTGTGTCCTGTTACTACAAAGCATTTAAGAATATTGTTTGGATTAAAAAGGGAGATTATATAAAATATTATTGTATTATTTCATCCAGTGATTCTCAACCAAGGTGCCTTGAGATCCTTTCAAGGCTGCCATGGGGTGCCACACAATATTAGCACTGTAAGCAATGTAAGTGTGCAAACACGATTCACAAGATAAACCTAGAGATTTCAAATAGGAATCCATAATGTTAAAAATATGCTGATGTTTTGTGGTCTTTCTAAGTTCTTTGCAAGAAAAGAATTGCTCTATTATTTCTCTGTAGTAATAAAAGGAATGAAAACTAAGAGCTGGCATTTTCCGAAGAGTGCCTTGAGTTTAATGAAGTTAGGAACCATCAAGTTAATCTTTCTCCTTACCTTTTAAAATATATGGGGACTTTGCAACATGGTTATCTTTGGTTTTAACTTCTATCCTGATGTTTTTGTAGCTTGCATACATTCTGTACCTCACAACGAAGGAACCATCTTTTCTGTCTAATACCTGCACTCCTACTCGAGTGAACTGTTCATCAGGAGCAGTGATCTTCACCTGAAATGCATTTTCACCCGGAGACGAAGTGAACCTACCCAGAAAACAAATACAAACAGCATTAAGAAGCAAACACACAGCAGTTTTCTTTGGATCTGATCCGAATCTATTTGAAGTAAGTAGAAAGTTACCCAGTGACTTCACTGAGGGTCAGATTGGATCTACGGGGACAGATTTCCAAATGCTTGGTGCTGTGTTTTCTGAAGACTTAATTTCCAATTTAGGCACCTAAATAAACACTAGATTTTCATAACTGCTGAGCAACCGACAAGGTCCACTGTGACAACAATGGACAGAATTCCAAAAGACTCCAGCTCTCAGTGCTGAACTCTGCTGAAAATTTGGTGCCTAAATAGGAGCAAGCAATTTGGAAAGTCTGGCTCTGACTGTGAGGTATCAGCACCACTGCAAATTCTGACAACATTGTCTTTAACAGACCACTGAGAAGGATATTATTGAGACACCCTTCCCTATATATCAACTGTTTCAAAGCTAAAGTACTGTACAGCCTAATTGGTGATAAGCTGTTCATTCACATTTTTCCAGATATAGGTGTGTATATTGTGAGCTTTGTAATTTCTCTCCCGCTTCTCTTTTCTTTATCCTTCTCTCTCTTCCTATCTCCTGGTTCCTTCTTTCCCATACTCTATTTCTGCATTGGCCCTCTTCCTGCAATGGTCCAATCTCCTCAGTTTTCACCCTCCTTTAATCTCTTTATTGCTATCTTGGACTATTTCTACCTTTCACTCTGGCCATAACAAGGGGGGTGGACTGTGCTGTTGATTAAGGCAAGGAAGCAACAATGCTGGCCACTTATTCCTCCCCAGTTCTCGTCCCAATAACTTGCACTGAGCAGCACACAAGTAATAAAGGACTCAAGAGCAGGAAGCTTTAGCTTCTAGCTCATTTGCTCAGAGAACAGCCTCTAAAAATTAAATATGATAACCCTTCTCACTGCTTCTAGACTTACTCCGCCAGTGACACTTTAGCTGATACGAGTAATAGTGATAGTGAGAGCTCCAGATAAGTGGCACTCAAAATTTATAGACAACTTTCACATGCCCCCCTTAACACTTTCTTATCTTTACAACTTGGTTCACATGTGCTTTATTTTCTAGATCTTATTGAGAGAACAACATATGGTCTGATTCTTGGTTTTATGGGTCCGTTTCATGTTTCTTTGAAAATAATCTGTTCATATAGAAAAAAAACGAAAATCTCAAGTGCAAATTTCTGAGTAGAAATGCAATCTAAAACTGCTTAAAGGATTTTTCTCAGACCTTAAAAAGAAATTTTCCATGGGCAGACACTAAGCATGGAAAAATTCAGCCTAAACTTGAATGATCTGGAGAATTAGTAATACAAGGAACTGTTTTACCACATCACTAGGCACTACCAAGTATTAAACACCTACTCCATTTGTTTGGCTAGAATTCCAGATAATAGCATACTTATACCATGTTGGGAGCCCATAAGACAGTTCTGCAGTTGTATCACCTTTCCCATAGTTGCTCTGAGGAATGAAGAACTTCACAGTATGCGGAGCTGGCCAGGAGGCACCTGCTGTCCATGACAAGGTGACGTTATTCACTCTGGGCGTGTCTACACATGTGCTTTAATGCGCATTAGCCTATTTTAATGCACATTAAAGCATCACAAAAAACTGCACTTTCACTAATACAGGTTTCCCTTGCTTTATGTGGGTTCTGTATGTGCGAACTTACTCTTATGCGATGACCCTTTTTATACCAAAAGTTTGTTATATGCAAGGTAAATTCACTCTTATGCAATCGGTGTGGTGGAAGTCTACAGTCAGCTGCTTTGTGTGGTGCATTGTGGGAGTGACACACACCAAAATATCATCTCCTGGGTGGATCTGTGCTCCTCACTCGTTGTCTGTGATATGTTTCTGTAGTTGCCATCCCCATTATGGTAAAATTCATCAAACCCTGTGCTTGTGTGTACTGTCTGCTGTTGGCAAGTACCAAAATTGTCTTGTAGAAGTGGTAGAAGTGGGTATGGGGTCAGTACAATTGAGGTCTTGGAACGTATCTCTATTTGTTACACTGTAAAGTGGGTTCCCTTTATGCAAATTCGAGTTGTGTGCCATTTTCTAGGAACACATGTACAGCATAAAGTGAGGGAAACCTGTATACATTAAAATATGTTAAAGCGCCTTTTACTAGTACCTCACAATGGAGGTACTAAATTCAATGCACATTAATGAATGTGTAGACACGCCCCCTGTGACCTTGGGAGAATCCCTATATAGGAAAAGGTTAAACCCAATAGAATTACTTTATTTGGCTTCCTCACTTATTTGACTTGAATAAGATTCTACAGACCTTCTTACATAAGAAAGGGAAATGTGTTGAAATGTAACAATGATACAAAGTAATAGCATAAATCTTTGAGAAACTGTGCTGCCATGGAAGTTAAGAGAAAATCTAGGAGGTGATGCCAAGGCACACAGAGTCTCTACAAATGGCACTGATCTCCTCAGGTCCTGAAAAACTGATAGGTTTAAAAGACTGAGGGAGATTTTTTTCAAATGAATAAGTGGCATACAGAAGTCTAACTTCTACCAATATGCAAGAATTAAGCACAGCTTTCATTGTTGTCTCTGAAAATCTTACCCTGAGGGAAAAGGTAATGAACTGCCCCGCATCTTGATGGAATATTGTGGTGAAAACTCCACAAATGGAAAATAGTGGACTTCTCTGCTGGGTTTTCCTGTCATGATCCAGTTAATTGATTTGAACTCAGAATTAAGCTTTAGATTTTATGAACAAATTAGGGTTATTTAACATTTTACATAATCATAGAATCATAGAGAATTAGGGTTGGAAGGGACCTCATGAGGTCATGTAGTCCAACCCCCTGCTCAAATCAGGACCAGCCAGGGCTTTGTCAAGATGGGCCTTAAAAACCTCCAAGGATGGAGATTCCACTACCTCTCTAGGTAACCTGGTCCAGTGCTTCACCCCTTCTCTTTTATACATTTAATCTCTTATACTTTTTTTTTTTTTTTGCAAATGGTTTCTCAGATTGCATGCCTTCAGCTGTATGGGGGAATGCTGGTTTGTGTGGCAGTGAAAGAAGCAGGTAAAGCAAGAAGTCATATCACAAATTAAACTGACCAACTACCTTTGTATAAAAGCTTGACAAGGCAGAGTAAGTGGTTACTAGGTGGTTGGACCAAGATGCTTCTATTTCGTCTGTATCCCATTGCCTACCCCATTCTGTATCCCTTATGAAGCTTGTGAAAATTAACATAATGGTAAATTTCATATTAGAGCAATGGATCGAAGGACAGGAGATTTTGAAAAGCCAACTGTAGTTTTTTTAACTGTAAGTTTCTCTCTTAAAGTGGAAGAAAGGAACATAAAAAAAATAATAAAATCTATGGACCTATTTGAATGAGGGTGGAAGGAGAACAGCTTCACAGAAGTTAATTGGTAAACCCCCTTATTCCTGAAATAAATTCTCTCCTGTATCTTTACAAGATATTTTGCTTTCCTGTGTCGTGCATAAACACTGATTCCTTGTCATGGTCAGGCATCCTGGACTGCTGCAATTCATTTAATGACAAGAACATTTGATACACGTATAACAATGACATTGACTGAATAAAGAGATGCATGAAATAAAAAGGTTTGATTTGGAGCCTTGACACCAATAATTTCCATTTCTGCAAGAAATACAAATTAGGCAGTTTTCTTAATTAAATGGCAAGGAATACAAGATCTGCAGACATGGGTATCAGCAAAGGATAGTGCTAATTCTTCTGGCAATGCACAAATACCAATGGCATTTAGCATAGATGTGTGTGCTAACAGGGAAAAAGTAGGAAAACTTATTTCTGTCACAGGAATCCAGTAGATGTGACTCAGATCTTCCAAACATTAGGGGTGCAGACAGAAGTGACAATTTTCACCCAATCTGGCCACAGAAAACGGCCTCTAGCCATGACCAAACACAAGGGCACAGCTGCAGTGCCGTAGCAATGAAGTTTGGCACCCAGGGCAAAGCCTGCAGTGGCAGCCCGCCTTTGCTCCATGCACAGATCCGGGGTGGGGGGGCAAATGCCCCCCAATGCACGCAGCAGCGGGAGCCGCCCTTCTCCCATCCCCGCACTGCCCCCAAGCGAGCCACTCCTGGCTCCTTCCTGTGCCCCACTCCAGCTGAGCAGCGCCTTTTGGTGCCCCTTTGCTTTGGCACCTGGGGTGATCGCCTCCCCCCGGCCCCCGCTGTGGCATTGCACATCACTTCAAAAACAATCACTTCAGAAGTGGCCAATCAAGGGAAAATCTGAACCCTCACTGCATGGGGGACAGATGAAGATGTTTCAAAACAGAGCATCTTCTGTAACTTGTGTCTGCACTATAAAGCACACACCTTGGGAGTAAAACAGCAACATCTGCTTAACTGTTTGTGAGAATGGTGCCTGGGGAATACCCAGGCACAGTCATTTGAATTTGAATTGCTTAGGAGACTTTAAGATGTTGTAGCAGTTGGCACCATATCTATGTTCAGCTCCGGGCAGTAAAGACTGCCCTTTTCCGCGATCAGGTCTCTGCCCATACCCACAACGAAGAGTCTCTGAGCAGAAGCTGCAATGCTTACCTCCGCCCCGCAGTGTCCACAGCCTGAATATAAAAATAGCGAGCGGGGAGGACAACATCTGCTCTCAGCCCGGGGCCCCAGATCAAGCTGCTCTCCGGGCTCAGCTGGCTTCCTCCACCCCAGACACTCCGCACCGGAATTGCTCCAAGAAGTAAGCCACGAAGCAGCCAAATGCTGAACATTGACAAGACTTCTTCGGAAGGAAAAACCCAAACGAGAAGAAAGAAAACGGATGCAGCTGAGGAGGAGGAAAGCTGTAAGAGAACAACCAAAGGGTGCTTCAGTTACGGCTGCGGTAACATCTGCTCAGATCCACATCTGGCTGGGCTGAGCGCTGCCTTGTTTGCTCCACAGCTGGCCTGAATATTTCCACTTTCCCCTTCACCGGGTCACAAGGGAGCAGCCACTTCCCTTAGTTCACTGCTGCCGCCTCCCGATTTCTTTGTCTCTGGGGCTGTCTCGCCTTGTTTGCCTTTACCCCTGAAGCTAGAGGAGCATCTTCTTGTTAACCCTATGTGAAGTTTCAGCCGGGTTTGAAAAGGAAGGGGATTGGCTCATTGGTCCAACAAAACTTCTTCCGAATGAATAATGATGTCTCACTTCCCAGGCCGAGCGGTCATGCTGGGAAATGTAGTCCGGGGACAAGAAATCATTGCAATTGGCTCCACCCCAGCCCAACAAGCGTTTGCGGGGTGGCCACGGGCGAAGTGCTGGAGCCAGAAGCAGAGAGTTGCTGTGTATTGCAGCTAAAAGCTTGACTGGCAGCTTAAGAAGGCTTTAAAAAAGGTTTGACTCATTAACTCCTATGAGTAACATCAAGATCACACACACACACACACTTTTTTTGTCATGTTGTACATAGCCAGCTTCCCTGCTTTTCTATTCCCTGAGTCTTTGAGTCTTTCAGGCAGTACGGATGACAGAAATAAGCATTTTAAAAATAGCAAAGTATGCCTACAAAAATCCGAAAGTAAGCATAGTGCCCAAATTCTCTCTTAAATACATAGGCAGACAAGGTTCTTCGGGTGAATCTGATATATTTTATTAAACCAACTTAAATAGTTGGAAAAAAAAATGTAAGCAAGCTTTCGGGTTTAAAAACCCTTCGTCAGGCTGATTTAAATACATTTCTTACATTAAATACATTAAATACAGGCTCTTAAATTTATGCCTGAAGAAGGGTGATTGCACCCGACAGCTTGCTAAGAACTTTTTTCCAACTACTCGGTCTAACAAAATATATCACACCTACTTAAAGCAGAGACTTGCTGTGCTTAAAGAACCTTGCCTGCCCTCTTAAATACACTCATTTAACTCGAACTAATTCAACTCTCTCTTAAATGCACTGATCTTTAGCTTGATGATAATTTAATTATCACAGATATATTTTTCCTGGAAGATGCTTCATTTTGAGCAACTCATGATGACCGAATAATGCATAATTAATTGGGTCTTGAAAAGAGTCCCTCTATATTTGCTGACACTGACTGGTATAATGAAAGCGTTCTGTATTAGCCCTTTAACTCCTTAATACAACCTGGGCACTCTGTACATGCAATTAATTTAAAGCAATAAACTCCAGCCCATATTGCATCAGAGTTTATTGCTCCCGGGTGCCCTGTTTGAATATACGCCCAGGACCACAGCATGTTGAGCTGGGTCAGAGCAGCCTTGGTTGGCAGGGGGTTCAGTGGGGTGAGCCTGTCAGCCTGGGGCTTCTCCAACCCGGCTCAGCATGCTGTGAAGGGGCTGGCTGGGGCACAAGAGTGTTCCAGTGTGGGGCTAGCTCTGAAGCACCCTCATGCCTCAGCTAACTTCATCAGTGTCTGTATATGCATCGCTGTGCTTTAAAAAAACTCTGCCGCAGGATAGTACTTATATTTACAAGTACTAATCTGTGGTAGAGTCTCACTTAGTTTACTGCGGCCTAATAGGAGGGGGATGTAGCTACTGAGATGTTTACTGAAGAGCTAATTAGGCAGCTCCCCAATAAATGTCTAGGGTATATGTGCCCCCTGTCTTTTATAGCTGCTTTGTTTGGTTCAGTTCTGTACTGGTAAGGGATTCAACTATTAAGACGCAATAACATAAAATATATTGTATTTTATTTGTGATTTGTTCAATTGTAGGCTGTAGACCTGGTCAGTGACTGACAAGACAGACCACGCTGACTAGTGCAGACTACGGACCTAGCAAAAGCCTGAGTTATGAATGACATGGACTTAAGCTGGTATCTAACCAACAATCAGTAGGCTTACATTTAAATCACAGGCAATAGCCTGGGAACGTAGAATGTGAATCTGTTTATCAAGCCTTTAATATTAGACTAGGCCTACAATGAATAACTGCTTTTTGGAAAAGTGTGTTACAGCAGCTAGAAATTGTTAGAAGTAGCAACTGATGTTTGGTTTTGTTAACCAGTTGTACATTATAATTGGTCTATTCAGCAGAGTAAAAGAAACAAAACATGGCAAGTAGCATTCCTAGATGGTGAGGAAAAGCGATAAGAAGTCATCCCTCCCAGAACTGGACTTGCTCAAGGACACAGACCCTAGCTAATTGGCATCTTCCAAGTCCACAGGAAAGCTGGTTAAGTCCAGTTCCCAAAGTTTCAGTAAAACAAAGAAATTGGAGTAACACCAATCAGGATATTTATTTAAATAGCCCATAAATAAATATTGCATGTAAATGGGGAATCTTCCTGAAGACCTTTACAAAGTCAAGACAAACCGCTGCCAGCTTGCATGCCAACTTCCTCCACCTTACTATCTTCCCCTGGTATAGGTGAGAATCTGTATTGTGCTGTTGCTAATACAGATTCTCTATGCTAGGTAGGCATAGAGACAAGTGTTTTATTTAATGCTTTGGGTTGTAATCAAAAGGCTGGGTTATAGACCTGTCTCTCGCTTCTTTATCTGACTTGAGTGGTAGTAATGCTTTACCTGCTAAGGGGGATCACGGCATCTTGACTTGACTTGGTTTACAAAAGGGGTAATCAGTAAGGAAATTGTAACTGTCTCTGAATTCTGGGTCTACACTTGCAAAGAAGTCCTAATCATAAGCCAAAGTCTTGTGTCTCAAAAGACCACGTGGTACCTGTTTTTTGTTAACAAAATCACAAATAAAATATGTTCCTGATCAGATTAAGACTAACAAAACAACCAACATATTATCCAAGGCCATCATATTTTCAGTACCCATCCTGCGGACTTCAAAGTGTATACACCTCAGTTGGAAATGAAGGTATATCTAATAGGTTTAACTTATGTAAACTTTCATGGCTTACAGCATTTCTCTATATTGTTATTTTCTATTAGGGTTTCTGTTCTATTTTTGGTAATATACATGGAAATAGATTAATGAAAGGAAGGAAAAATTGTGAAAGATATAGCGTGGGGAAAGTGACCTGATAGAGAAACTAGGTGAGGAATCCAAATAAAATGCGGATTTACTGAATTCTTTTGAGATCTTCCACTTTGAAATTCTGTATTTTTTGTAGCTTTGTATAAAAGCTTGACAAGGCAGAGTAAGTGGTTACTAGGTGGTTGGACCAAGATGCTTTTATTTTGTCTGTATCCCATTGCCTTTCCCCGTTCCGTATCCCTTATGAAGCTTGTGAAAATTAACATAATGGTAAATTTCATATTAGAGCAATGGATAGAAGGACAGGAGATTTTGAAAAGCCAACTGTAGTTTTTTTCTGTAATTAATAATCAATGTGCAGCTATAGATGGGACTTGATTGAAATAGAGGTGATTCTGGTAACTGTAGAACTACCATTAGGCCTATTTGGATTTGTGGGCATTACATGCTTGCAGATTGTGTGTTAACCAGAATCTGGAGATGCATAGCATTGGAAGGATTTAGGCTGAGGGGTTTGTTATGCTCCTCTATCTGGCTTCAACACTTTTGTTAGGAAAACTATTCTTTTTTATATGCTGGGGAATGTTTTGTGTTCTTACAAGTGAGAAATAACCAACTGGAAAAATATTTCGCATTTAGGTTCCTAAAACTTGTGATGGGGAGAATGAGATTTTAGATGGCGTTTGAGGCACGTATATTATTTATTTTTGAAAGGGTCTTTCAAGCATCTTATTGAAACTAGCCCCAATTGTTGCCATTGGCCCCTAGAATGCCTGTACAGGGTTATACTATGTGCATTACCTAGAGCTTGAAAGGAAACCTAGTTTCCTTTACAACACAGTTGTGCATTTTTTCTGTTTCTAAAAAACTGTGGGCATGTCTACATGTGCATTAATGCACCATGATTACTGTGCTTTCAGTTTAGCACCTGTAATAACTGGTACTAACTGAATGTGCAGTAACGGGTGCTACTGCACAGTAATGCCAATGCATGTTTTTTGTGACATTAATGTGCAGTAGACTAATTCTACTGCACATTAGTGCATTAGCATGGCTTTTGCTGTGACACACTAATGCTCAGTAGAATTAGTCTACTACACATTTATCATCTTGTGTAGACACACCCTGTATCTACAGAAACTCCATTGAAGTCAGAGTTGCTTTATGGAAGAAATACATACCTATAGTTACAGCTTCAGTCTTTAGCATATCAATTTGGTATCAAAAAGAAAAATAATACATTAAATTAACTCTTAAAAGGAAAAAAGAGGTCCTTATATTAATAGGAGTACAGTATTTCTGTTTGATCTGTTATGAATAGGTCTGTACAAAACCAAAAAATAAGTGATTTTGAAAAGTATTTTATAAGGCTGGAAAGGACTTCCTGGGTCACTGAGTTGTCTCGTGGACTATAATATTGCATCCCTTTCATAAATTTAGCTCTATCTTAAAACTAGTTAGGTTAAGCCCACTGCTCTCACTGAGAGTCTGTTCTGGAATGTCACTACTCTGATTATTAGAAACCTTCTTCTAATTTTCAGCCTAAATGTTTGCATCATCAATTTATAAACCTTTGTTCTTGTACCAACAATATAATGTAATTCTTCCTTTTTTGTGATGCCCCCTCAATATATGTATAGGATGCAATTATCCCCCCTCAGCCTTCATTTTGATAGACACAAGCCTAATACTTTCAACTGCAAGGACATTATTTAGAAAGGCTATATTATGGCTATAGATTCCACATAAAATATTCCCACTTACCTGAAGAGACATCAACTGTTGTAAGGGTTACAATGATATGGTAGAGCTGATTAAGCCTTGCACCCTTATTCCCCGCAGAAACAAGCACAGTTATCTGTGCATGTATTTGTGCCCAGGCAGATTTCTAAAATAAGCTTAAATCATTTACTCTAATTTTAGTTCTGGCTGGCAAAACCAAAACTATAGCTATCCTAATGCTTGTAATTTGGCTCAAAGAAAAATGCTTTGGAAGCAAAACACTGTTGTTTAATTGCTTCCAAGGCTGTTAGCCAACTAAGGCTCCACAAACTTTTTAGATGATGATGCCCCAGAGGATGCTGTCCAGTCTCAGCTGTACGGTTCCCCAGGATGCAGGCAAAGCACATTCTGGTTTTTGGTGTTGAACTGGTTCCATTTGCAATTACAGGACTACAAACCTGACTGGGCCTTCTGGCATTACAGGACTCAGTTTACTACAGAGGACTACCAAAACCTCTAAAGTTTGAGGATTTGTTCTATGACAGCAGAACCCCTTTCTGTTGTTTTGATGCCTGGCAGGCTAAGGATTTTTAGATTAGGGGCTAAATATTAATTACTTGTCATAATTTTCAGTGATAAACCTTGTAAC